ATATATGTAGAGCTGCATACCACAAATCCATGGAAGAATTCAACGTGTTTTTAACAACCCTCATCTCTGTTTGGTGGGGCCACGGAATACACTGTTTGTTTGTTTCTCTATATTTTCTAATTTTCCATCAATAAAAGTGAGTTGAAAGAGAGGTTATTCTTTCCAGGTGACTCTTCCAAGAAGAAAAAAATACAGCAGGCCATTTGGAGCCAGTCCGAGTCATGTTTTGTTCCTGGGCAGAAGAAACAATTGTATGATCTTCAGATGTGGTTTCTCAGGACGCCATGTGTAATTTATGTTTTTCTCCCAGACAGCTGCACCTTTGTGAGCATTTGCTTACCTGTTTTCATTTGTATCGCCTGCCTTTACAAAAGAGCCCACCAGATACAGGGGCTTGGAGTTGTCTGTTATTTCTGTGCAACTGTATTCTTTTATTTGGTGCCAAGCAGCTCTACTGATGTCTGCTCTTTTAATTTCCATCTAGAACCCTGCTTCCAGCAGCCCCTCTCCACAGGCCTCCACACCGCTCCGCGCCCCCAGAGTGTCAGTGGGTACTCGGAACCACAGGCTGGATGTGCGTGATTTTCCCGGAGCACCAATTTTCTTCAGATATGAGAAGGAGAAGACGTTATTAGACTCAAACAAGCCATTACATTCAGCCAAATTGAAAAAATGATGTAAATTTTAAAAATAAGATGGGAAAAAAGTAAAATAAAATAAAATAGGAACTTGAAATAACTTAAAGCTCAGAGGTCTCAGGCAAGCCTTTTCAGTGTAGCCCCTGGAATTCTGGAGGTAAAAGTTCCTTTCTCATCCACCTTTTAGGATTTTCCTGAGGAAAATCTTGAGAAGCAGGGATCTAGTACATTCACCCCCTCAGACTACTTCTTTGTTAGCCATTCATTCTTACACATCTTACGAAATAAGTCCTCCCCCTCAAGAGTGTCTACTCCAGAAGAGGCCCTGCCCACAGCCATCTTCTTGGAACCATACAACTGACAAGCAAGGGGATTCTTTTAAACACTGGCATTGGAAACATGCGTAACAAAACACAAAAAAAGGGAAGAAAATAACAATGGGACACAGTTTAAAGGCAATCGGTTTTTTAGTGACAGTTCCTGTGCACAAAGTGAGCCCTGGAGGTAGCCCAGTGAAACTCTGCGGTCCCTCCCACTGGCCTGCTCTTTTCAGGATCAATTCAAAACCTATAAAGGCTTAAATTGTATACATTAAAAAGAAGCAGGCTCCTGGGTGGCTCAGTCAGTTAAAGCATCTGCCTTCGGCGTAGTAGGTCGAGATCTCAGGGTCCTGGGATGGAGCCCTGCCTTGTACTCCATCCCCAGTGGGGAGTCTGCTTGTCCCTCAGGCCTCTCCCTCTACTCCTCCCCCTACTCATGCTCTCACTCTCTCTCATAAATAAATGTTTTTTAAAAAATGACCAAGAGAATAAAGATACACAAAAGAAAAACCTTGGCAAAACCACCTAAGATTAGACTATTTTAGACTTAGATGGTTGTCATTTATAGAAACAGAAAAGGTTAGTGCCCTGCGTCAGTTTTAGAATGTGCACAGAAACATTTTTCCCTTCGGGCCATCCAAATTGCCTGTAATGAAAACAGTCTCAATTGTAAAAATTAATGTAAAATAATGGGAGGTTGACTCTTAAGAATGAATCATTTTGAAAGAAGATGAAATCAGTTTCCTCTGATGTTATGTTTACCTACTTGGTTCTTCTGCAGATATTTTATTATCCTTGACCTTGAAGGCATTCCTTAGGTGGAAGAAAGACGTCTTGCTTTTAATACTTAGAGCACTGGAACCTATTCCCAGGTGGGAGAATCACTGGAGCAGAGCGTCTCACAGTTCACAATAGCACCACAGCATTTTCACTTTAACGGGTCACTTTCTTTTTTTTTTTTTTAAAGATTTTATTTATTTATTTGACAGACAGAGATCACAAGTAGGCAGAGAGGCAGGCAGAGAGAGAGGAGGAAGCAGGCTCCCTGATGAGCAGAGAGCCCGATGCGGGACTCAATCCCAGGACCCTGAGATCATGACCTGAGCCGAAGGCAGCGGCTTAACCCACTGAGCCACCCAGGCGCCCCAACGGGTCACTTTCAAATAGAAACCATCCTCTCTCCCTATTTCAGTGACATTTTGATTACCTGTTTTGTTTTGGGCTCTCTACCGCATCTGCTTTGGTTAAAATCAACCCAATGGATCAGAATCACCTCACTGGAAAGCAGCAGGAAGGCAGTGATTGTCTGAAATCCTACCTTGTCAATAGCAAGCACTCAGGAAAGGTGTCTTGAGTTTTTGCTGGCCTCCTAAACACAATGTTTTTGAGAGGAGACATTTCGTGCAAGAAAGGAGCTTCTTCTAATGACGTCAGAAGTGCATTAATGGATCTCCTTAGCTAAGCAGCAGTAAGGCTACAATACTTGAATCCACAAGCCAACTAATTTTGTTGCTAGGTCTCAGAGCCAACATGAAATAACATTTAGGGGCAGTCCCTGAGATCAACCAGGAAAAACAGCCAACTTCTGTTTAGCACAATGCATGGCATAGGGGAGACATTTAATGACTGTATGATGCCTCTAGAGGGGACAGGAAAGATGCTCCTGTGATCATGTACCATAAAGGTGTAGTACCACCCATTCAGTTCATTCAGCAAACCTTGTCACATGTTCTAGGCCATAGGGATACAGTAGCGAGGAACCAAGTGAAAATGAGTACTTTCTAGGAACTTACTCTCCAGTTGGAGTGGAGAAAACTTACACAATAGATAACTAAAATATATAGTATATTAGTCCCAAATGCTTAGGAGAAAAATAAAACAGGAAGGGTGTATGAAACGTTGGAGGGGAGTTAAAAGCCAGATATGGTGACCAGGGACGAACTCCCTAGGAAGGTGACTTTTAGTAAAGATATAAAGAAAGCGAAAGGCATATGGGTATCTGAGGGAAAAGCCTTCTGGACAATGGTGACAGCACATGCAAAGGCCCTGAGGCAGAGGAGTTTCAAGGAAGATCAAAGAGACTACTGTGTCTGTGCATAGGAGACGAGAGAAATGTAGGTGGAAAGAGCAGACCCCAGAAGCCCTGGTAGGTCCCAGTAAGACTTCTGTATCTAACAAGAGAGATGGGAAGGGATTAGGGTTTTTAAGCAGAAGAATGACAATACCTGACTTAGCTTGTAATAGGCGCACTTTGGCTGCTTTGTGGAGAGTAGACAGCAGGGGAGCAAGGGCTTACTTAGCTGGGAAGAGAAGCTATTTGTTCTAAAATGCAGTCTGGAGTTTGCAGTTTTAACGAACTTCCTAGGTGATTCTTATGTATAGGAAAATTTAAAAACAAAAATTGATTTTGTGCATTGGGGAGGGTATATGCTATGGTAAGTGCTGTGAACTCCGTAAGACTGATAAATCACAGACCTGTACCCCTGAAACAAATAATATATTATACGCTAATAAAAAATTAAAATTAAATAAGAATTTAAAAATTTAAAAGAATTTTTAAAAATTTTAAAAATTGATTTTATGATCTAATGATTTGGTAGTCTCTAAGCCACTGCTTCATTTTGCCTGTGGAGAAATAGGATCTTAGCCTTTGGTCTAAATTCAACTAATATCCTGCCGATTCAGCCACACAGTTCCTAACGGTGCTTCAGAAAAGAACTGCCAAGGGACCTTGGCCTCTTGCTCTGTGACACAAGATGCCCTCTGAGAGACACCTGCTCTACAGAAAAAGAAAGCAGAGCTAATGTGATCATTCAGTGACAGTGTATTTGATAAGGTCACAGAGCATGTACTCCAGAAATATAAGTTTCAGGGTTCAGCAAAAGACAGCATCCAAGCAAGTGATTTTCCAAAAATTTTTAAAGTAAACTTCTTCATTTTCTTTTATTTTTTTAATATATTCTTTTTTTGTTAAGATTGTATTTATTTATTTGACAGACAGAGATCACAAGTAGGCAGAGAGGCAGGCAGAGAGAGAGGGAAGCAGACTCCCCGCAGAGCAGAGAGCCCGATGCGGGGCTCGATCCCAGGACCCTGAGATCATGACCTGAGCCGAAGGCAGAGGCTTTAACCCACTGAGCCACCCAGGCGCCCCTTCATTTTCTTTTTGAACAGAAGTTAGTGAGCACGTGTCTCTTATTCTAAATATATACGTGTACATAGGCACCTGTATGTAGTCTGTTTATAGATTCTAAATTTTTATTAAAAATGCAGTCTATATCTCGAAATTTATGACTACTGCTTTTTACATACACTAACAGAAATTGATAATCACAAAAATTATGACCATTCTTTCTGACTGAATTTCATAATGCTAACCATTAGCATTTGTGTGGCACCTTGTAACTGAGATGATGAGACACAGTCCCACAAACTATACAAAAACATTTCTTTCTACTTTATAGTCACTATGCGTGCCCCCGCGCATGCTCACAGCCTACCTAGTTCGTAATCTGTTCAAGAACAAAGACGGTCTTCTGTTTACCTTTCCTGTTTTTCTATTCCTTCTGTATACCTCTGAAATATTTTAGGCGCCTCTTCTGAATTCTGCAGCCCTCAGGCATGCAGGCGAACACCCAGCTGACCACTGACTGACCCATCTAGAGCAAGGCAACCCTGAGAATTAATTATCAGATATTCCACTCCTCTATTTATTCGACTTCTTTGGCTCTACCACAAACAACTCCAAGAGGCTAAAACCTTTATAACTAAGAGCCTTAAATATAGTAGAGTGGATTTATTGGATCCATGGGCGGTTTTTCATGAGAACATTTACATCCTGCCCCTCTTCTATCCTTTGGCCCAATTTCTCAAAAGTCTTTCACCCTGAACGGCTAATTTCCTGTGAATTTCTATAAAGGCATATAATGAGTTGAATTTTTAAAAAACATTCATTGTTCACAGGATGGTGGGTTACCCAGGGACGGGTGTTTCTCTTGAATAGAGTGCAGGAAGTTGGCTGCAGATAATAGACACAGATTACCTTCTTGAGTGGAAGACGCCTCGAGGTGCTGAAGTTTAAGGCCAGTGTCTAACCTTTGAGGCTTTGTCGACAGGAATAAGTAGCAAAGGACACAGACGCTGACGACAAAGGCAAGTAGAACCAGGGCAGCAGTTCCCAGTCCAACCAGGGCACCGATGCTGAAGAAACAGGAAGAACATTCTCACTGTCACACAAAATGGTTTACACATACACTAAAGAGAAGGTCTGAAGATTGTTCGTCCTCGCTTCAGTCATTCCTCACCAAACTCTATTTTAGTATAAACAGTATCTGATGGAAATCTACAGGTCAACGTTTGCTTTCCTCAAATTCTTCTATTTTCTCTACACATTTATATATTAACATTAGTATGGAAAACCATGTGAACTCATATGGCAGGTGAAAAGTCACATCATTCTCTCAGGCAAGTCTAAAATTATTTCGGTCAAAGAAACCTCTGTTAGTATATTTTAGAAGGAAAAATTGTGTTCACCTACAAAAGATGAAAAAAAAAAATAATGACCAGTGCAAAAGTAGTGAAGCAAATTTTTACCAGAAATGGAGAACTTTTCTTTTGGAGACACGTATGGAAGATAGCACTTACTAATATACAAAACCACAACTCTTACAACAAAGAAGAAAGGAAAGCAATGTTTATAGAATTTATATAACACTCAGGTGTAGCCTGAGTTTTTCCTTTCTAAAAGAGCATAACACCAATGGCTTCTGGCACTAAAGAAGAAACCCTTGTGTTTTTCTCAAAAAAAAAAAAAAGTGTATATCTGATATTATTTTCTCTGCATTCACTTTGTAATAATTCTTTCTGATATAGTTATCTATAAGACTAATAATTTGAGAAATAACACAGTTTTCATAAGCCTGTGAACTTCATATTTTTAAATGGGAAAAGGAGCTTGGAAAAAAATTATCTTGAAAGACTAAGAAGCAAACATATGTACTTTACTTTCTCGAATCCAAAGTATGTGTGGGTAGGTAAATACACATAAAGAGATTTTAAGCTGCTCAAGAGCACATACTTCTGTTGACTTTCCCATAGTGCTGGGCATACATATTAAAAGCTCTGAATACGGCACTTAGCTTATAGTAAATAGAAGTAAATGATAGTAAATAGAGGGGTGCCTGGATGACTGAGTCGGTTAAGCGGCCAACTCTTTTGATTTCTGCTCAGATCACAAGCTCAGGGTGGTGAGATGGAGCCCGTAGACAGGCTCAGGCTGGGTGAGAAGCCTGCTTGAGGTTCTCTCTTTCCCTCCCCGCCAACTCTTAAAAAAAAAAAAAAAAAAAAGTAAATTATAGTATAATCATCACTGAAAAGTAATCAACATTGAAATGGTCATAAAAAGTAATGACCTTTTTCTTCATCATTGTCCTGGCTTGCCTGCAGGCTTCTGCTATTTCCTAGAGATTAGGGCCCTGACAAGTCTGACAAGTACCAAAGGGAAGGAGGGGAGAATTTGACTAGGGAGGCTAGAGCTCTGGAAAAAAGGGAGAACAGAATTAAAAGTGAGGTGCTCAAGCTCATCCCTTTTATCCTTGATTTAGAAGATAAGGGCCCCTGCCATTTAGAGATTGCTTCCTTGGCCACAGACTTGGAGTCAGACCTCCAAAGATACTTGTGCTTGGTCTCTTAATGTCAGCCCAGTCCCCCGAGCCCTGCACACAGTGAGGACTGGATAATTCTGTGGCTAGAGTCAGTATATGTTTTGCATTTAAACTGGAGTTTGCCCTCTCTTCTGGGCTCTCTTCCAAGGGCGAGAATCCCCAGCTTTGGCAAGTTGTCTTTCATGTTTGTTGACATCAAAGCTAACTTTTATAGGTTCCATGCGTCAGGGAGGGTTAGGACTAGGTGCAGACACAGGGGAACATAATCCACTTCATTAACATTATCTGCTGTACAAGACAGCTAGGCTGCCACACATCTAGAAAGATTCTTGAAATGAGAACCTGTTATTTAAAAAATGCTCAAAGTAAAAAAAGTAATTTAATCAATTTAAAAGTAAGATTGTCAACCTAATTAAATTCCACATGTGTATTGTGAGCTTTTAATGTACACAATTTTAAAACCCATCATGTGATTTGTAGGAGAAACAGAACATGCTCTTTCTGCTTTCTGTTATAATGAAAGAAGGTTCTTCATAATCTTGAAAGACAGTTTGTGTTACAGTTCCATTTTATAGAAGCTTTGCTTCCTGCATACAAAACTCTGCTTAAAGACAAAACTCTAGGAATCTCCTAAAACAGTCATTTTCACAACTACTTACTGAACTTATGTGTTGCCCTGTGCAACAGGCATTATTTTCCTAGGCCCTAAAGCAGGTTATGAAAGAAAGCCCTCAGAGGTTAGGGATTTGGAAGAGGGAAAAAGACTGTGGTGGGCCCGCCACAAGAAAGAGAGCCTTATCCTTTCCTCACAGCACCATGATGGTGGTCTTCTTTCCAGTCCCTGGGGATGGGGGGTCTGAGGCTGCAACTTTGTTCATGTCACAGTTCTCCTACCTAGCACCTTGGCTTACTCCCTAGGGGTACCTGTGCTCTGCTTTTCTCCAGCAGCTGCAGAATCTCAGAACGAATGCTAGTGACTTTGAGAATATTTTGCTCAATTGAACTATTTTAAATTTGGGCGGAGAGTAAAGAATATGAGGGAAATGAAGCACTGAATTTTTGCCTCCCCTTTGTGTTCTCAATGCTCAGTAACTGATAACATCCCCAGGTTTAACATTACCAATGGTGCTCTCAGTTGAAATGATTTTTGTAGGTCCTAGGAACCGAGCCATACTGTCCGTTGTGTCCGTGCTGAATGAAGACCCCAGTGAGCTCTTCATTCTTTGTGCCCTCATAAGCCTTTGCTCTGCTGCCTATCACTTTGGAACTATTCAAGGAACCGAGAATTCCAGGCACTTTGCAAATCGAGTTTGACTTAAGAGTTGCCAGCCTCTGTCCAAGGTGCTGCCGTCATTATTAACACCTTGAAAGACTCAGAGCTGGGTTACTATGCTATTTTCCAACAGGCCAGATAATATACCAGTGCAATACTGATTATTTCTCCGAATGAGAGGGATAAGCTGCCATTATTTTCCAAGATTATGCCCCACTCTGGCACAACACAATGTTAGCCAAACTTACTGGTTATGTGGCACTCCTTTTGAAATTTCTTTTTTTGACGCTAGCAATACATCTTGAAAAAATAATTTATTGCCTCAAGAAATAGCATTTAAAGTCACTTGCTGTGGACTGGACATGTGTGACAAATTCTGGATCATGCTAGAGGATTAGAGAAATAACACCCTTCTGCTTACCAGCAGTCTCTCTCTTGTCACGCATAAGCTAATAGGTTTGTGAGAAACAATTGAAGATGGATTTGGAATTCTTCCGCATTCATTCTCCAGGCAAAATCAAAGAATCAAGTTCAAAGGTTGCAATCTTGGGGGGGGGGTGGAGAAAGCATTTCACAATGAAAATATCTGCGTAAATACTAGGTGGAATGAGTAAATTCCCATCATAATAAAAAGAGGCAAGAAAGACTCCACCTTAGAAAGTCTCTTGTCTTTCCCGTAATGGCCGAGTGGCTGAGGTGCTAAGAAAGGGCTATGCCGAAAAAGGTTCTACAGAGTATGTGTTATAGAGAGTAAAATCTTTCCTGCCTGTGGGTCTCCAGTTCGGTTCTGGGTCAGTGTCAGATCATCTGAAAAGCGCAAATTGTAAAGTCCTGTCGCACACACAGACACACACACAGGCGCGCGCTGGCGCGAGCGCGCACACACACACACACACACACACACACACACACACCCCTTTTTGATTCCTTCTCACCCTCAGAGAGACTTTAAACACTCTGGTCCTCGGTTAACACATTAAAATGAGTCCCAAAGTCGCTCCCTTTCTATTCAAGGCACCAAAAGCCCAAACAAATAAAAAAGAGAATGAAAAACTCCTCAAGTTATCTGCGCGTCTTCTCTCTGCGGGCTGAGCCTCCTGCCTGGAACTGGTCCCCGGCGGGCGCACAGCCCGCGCTCCTCCGGCGCCAGCCTCGCCCGGGGGCCAGGGCCCACTCACACTTCTGGCGGCCACAGCCTGACGCTCGCGGGACCCGGGCAGCACCGAACGCGTCCCGGGTGGGGGGGAGTGGGGGAGCTCTGAGCCTGGCGCGCTTTCTCTGCGGGTCCCTCACCCGCCCGCGGAGCCTCCATGTCCTTCCGGAGGGCCCCGACCCGAGCAGGTGACCCTGCCACTCCCGGGGTGGCCCCGCTCGTCGCCACCCCAGAGCCCGCCGTCAGCCCGCCGCCCTGCCCACCTGAGGCTCCACATATAGCTGTGCTTGTAGGGGAAGTAGCTGCCCGGCTCGCTGCAGCAGTACTTGAGGTCGGCGAAGCCGCAGCAGTAGAGCAGGGCGGCCCCCTCGCCGCTCCGCGGGCACTCGAAGGGTTCCACGAAGCTGTGGTTGAGGCTGTAGTAGCCCGAACACACCCGAGTCGCCTCGCTCATCGCTGGCGGCTGCGGACAGGGGCACGAGATCCCCGGGACTTGCGCTCGGACCGCACGCGTCCCGCACCGCCCGCGCCCGCGCACCCCTGCCAGCCGGGGTCGGTCGGACAGCCTGCGCGTTCAGCCTTCGCGCGCCTCCTCTGCGCGCTCTCCTGCCCCTGTCCACACGGGGTCTGCTTTACTCGCGCTTCTCCCTCTCCTTACTGAGTGTCCTTTTTTCCTGCCGGTCTTCGATCCTGTATCTCTTCTTCCCCTCCCTCCGTGGGCTTTCTTCACGCTCCCTCGATTCCCCTCCACCTCCCCTCACTTCATCGGCACCCTGGGGAGCTCAGCTGGTCCCACTGCACGCCAGAAAGCGATTTCACGCGAAGAGTGAAGGTGTCGTATGTGTTTGCCGAAGTTGCCGTTCTGCCTGCCGGGGACGGGGCAGGTGGGGTCCAGGCAAAGACAGTGTGGGGCCCGGGGAGCCTTCACCCGCAGGGGGCCACCGACCCCCTCCAACCCCTGTGCTGGGGCTGCGTACTGGGCAGAGCCAAAGACAGAACTACCAGGGAGGGGGTGGGTGGTGAGGAGTACTCCGTCTTTGAGAAGTACACGTGAAACATTAAAATCTGCCAGTTAAAAGAAAGAAAGAAAGAAAATCAAAGACAGTAACAAGGTTTCTCACCAAAAAGCTAGCCACGCATTCCGTATAATATGAAATGGCCTGCAAAGGGAAGGACAGGCCAGGGGTTCAAGAAAAGAAAGCGAGGGCTTTCTGCAGAGACAGGTAGGAAGAGAAGGAGCAAAGGAAATAGGGAGAGAAAGACCTGCATCCATTCTGAAGAGCAGCAGAAATTTCTCTTGTATGGTACTCTCATTTAAGGATGCATTTGTTCGCAAAGTCTTTTAAAATAACAATAGTAATGGATGCCGTTGAAGTAAACCAAAGAACATCTGGGAGTGTAAAGAAGAAAATAATAATAGCCATAAGGTGGGAGAGGAGATGACTGACATTCATAGACTGGTAATATAGACAAAACGGTGTTCCTTCCTCTTATTATTATTATTATTTTTTTCTGTATCTTTCCTTTTAGCCAGAGAGTTGGTTGGATGTTGAGATTCTGAATTTTACCTTGTTGGGTGCTGGGTATTTCTGTATTCCCAGAAGTATTCATGAGCGTCATTCTGGAATGTGGTTAAGTCACTTGGACACGGTTGGAGTCTTTTGAGTTTGCTTTTAACCTTTGTTGGCAGAACCAGAATGGTCTTGAGGACTAAAGATTCCCAGTCACTGACATGATGCTCTTCTGAGCCCTCTACTCGACACCTGTGGATTCCTAGTCTTACCATTCTGACTGATGGAAACAAACTATTCGAAGGCCTCCCAACAGCTCACAGGAGTGTTCCCTCTGCTCCTTTTAGGTCGCTCTTTCCCTGCTTCCAGTAGTTTCTTGATCAGTACTCAGCTAAAGACTCAAGGAGATCCTCCAGGAATCCAGTTCTGTTTCTCCAGCTCTCTACTCCCCGGTATCCTCTGGCCACCATGGCTTCTTGTCTTCTCAACTCAGTCTTCTCACCCGAGGGAAACCACTGGCCTCTCACTGGGTCCTCTCCTGGTGCTGCTGCCATGTGGAAACTCCCCAGGCAGCAAGCCAGGGCAATCATAAGCCCTCCCGTCTGTCCCTCTCTTAGGGATCATTGTCCTGGGCTCCCTGATATCCACAATCTGTTTCCTGTTTTTAGTTTTTTCAAGTAAGAGGGTTAATCTTGTCTCAAGCCATTTTAGCTGAAGTTGGCCAGGTGATTGGACCTGATCCAAACTAGGCCAGCAGGGTTCTCTGTCCTGGGATTAGGATTCTGCCCTGGGGACAGGAATTCCCAGGGAGCTAGTGTATAGGAAACACAGAACAAAGCAGGCAGGAGCAGCAAAGAAGGGTGGAGGGGAGTGCCCGTGGTTTTGCAATTCTGAACAAGTCCTTTCCTGAGACCCATTGTATTTCCAACACTCTGATTTTTGGGACATCCCTGACCCCTTAAAGTAAAATCCCTTTTCTGTCTGAAGTGCATTCAACTTGGATTCTACTAGTTGCACCCAAAGCATTCTAACTCCTACAGCATGGCTTCCTGCGATGCTCTTCCTGCGACAGAGCAGGCACTTGAAAGTCAGAAACCTGGGCTCTTTGACCAATGAAGCTTGTTCTGTTGCAAGGTGATGGTGTGGGGTTGGGGGGCACTTTAGGCAGCACGAGTGGACTTTTCTTCCTGTTGTGTAAGAGGAAAAGAAATTCAGGGATGAAAAGAATGAAAGTTCTTTTGGACGTATTATCGACTATCTTAATAAAACATACCGAAGTCTTTCTGGAGCCTGAGACACCAGGGTGGGACGTGAGTGGTCGGGAGAATGATGGAAACTGAGAGCAAATACTAGGAAACGTGCTCGGGTGGCAGGCAGAGGGAGGACTGACACCTCGCTGAGGGCCCCGGGGGCGGTTAGAAGCCCAAGCTTTCTGGTGGAACCATTCTGCTGGGTCCTGTGATTTTCTCCAGCAGTGAATGTTCCATGATGGAGAAACAGGAGCAGGGAAGTGAGCAGTAGGACTTGCCAGGGTGATTCTCTGGGGCTGTGCTCTGCCCCCTGCCCCCATGCCTCTAGAGTCACCACAGTGCCTTGGCACTTCTCTAGCCCTAGATACATGCCATACACGCATGAAAACACACACACACAGAGAAAGGCAGGCCTGCAGCTGCTAGCCTCCACCAAACTTGGACTACCTCGAAGCCTCTGAGGTTCAAGTAAACAAAAGATCCTTTTAACACATGGGACTTAAGGGCAGTGTCAAGACTGAGGCTTGAGAAGAAGCCTGCTGCATGGTCCCATATGAGCCAGTCCCCAGGTCATGGCCTCCAGACAGGAGGTGTTCTGGCAGCCCGTGGAGGTGGGGCTGGCCCAACACCCGGAGACTGCCATAAATTACACCTTTCATTTTCATGTATCTCACTGGTTCTCAACAAAAGTGGTACCCCTCCTCCTTTGGGAATATTTAGGGAGTATTTTGGAAATAAAGGGACGGTTTTGATTGTCATGATGACCGAATGCCCTCCTGGCAATGAGGGATGTAGGCCAGGATTGCTAGACGTCCTGACATCCTGCGACATCTACAGAAAAATGAAGAATTGTCTGTGTTTTTCAATTGTTCCCCAGGACATTGACACAGATGCAAACTGTGTTTATCTAGAACCTGTTTCTGGGCTACGAATAAAATATAGCGTATTTGTTGAATTTTCCAGGAACGTAACTACCATGTAATTTGAGGGAAGACTGTTCTTTGTTTCGTGTGGAACTTTACCAAGAGTTTTCCACCCCTGGAGAAAATCTGCTTCCAATGGTAATGTTGCCCGCAATGTCGTGTGTGGGTTGGCACCTGGGCAACTGCCTGTACTAGCCTACATTTGGGCTCGGCAGTGCCTCAGAGCCGTTGCGTGCACACTGTTGGTGTCAATGTTATATCTCTGGGTATCGTTGTGCTTGAGCACATCCTCATGGAAATACATACTCCGTTACAGATTTGTTCCATTCACTGCTTGATACCACGATGCAGGCATTGCACAGATCGCATTCGTCTGCTAGAGCCACAGACTGGGTGGCTTTAACCACAGACCTTTATTTTCTCACGGCCAGAAGTCTGAGACCAAGGTGTTGGCAGGGTTGTTCCTTCTCAGGGCTGTGAGGGAAGGATCTGTCCCCAGCCTCTGTCCTTGGCTTGTCACTGGCCGTCTTCTCCCTGGGTCTTTGCATTGTCTTCTCTCTGTATGTGTCTGTGTCCAAATTTCCTCTTCTTACAATGACCTCATTTTAACTCAGTTACCTCTTTAAAGCCCTTACCTCCAAACAGGGTCACATTCTGAATGAGGTACTGGGGGTTAGGACTTGGCCATACGAGTTGGGGTGTGCTAAGATTCATCTCATACCATTGGGCATGTAGATCAGTCATGCTATGTACACACTTCATTTCAAAATAGCAAAGGGAAAGTTACTGAGACACTTCTTAAAATAACAGGGGACACTTGAGTTGGATAGGGTTGAGAATGACTGGTAAGCTCTATCAGTAGGGCAACGGCCTATGGTATGTCTCAGAGGTGAGTGTTGCTCCTTACCTCTGATCTCCAGCCCAACATGATTCACCCAGAACAGGCATGATGGAACAAATGGAGAGAGAGATTGAGAACAGCAGGTATCTGGCTATTGGGTGAAAGCAAAGCAAGGGTTCACAATGAAGCTGACTTGGCTGTAGGAAAAACGAAGAGGCCAGATGAGTGCTTTGCTCAAAAGCTTTCAACAGATCCTTATTTCTAAACCTGCTGTAAACCAGGGCCACTCCCTTCTCCTCACTTCACTGCTCTCTGGACCATCTTGAATGTGCTCTCCTGCTCTGGCAAAACAGACTCCTTCCTGCGTCAGAATCATCTTCATGTATTTTTCCATCCAAGAGATACCTTGACTTTTTTCTTTCTCTTGCAATCTTCATCCAAAGTCCAGCTCACCACCCAGTTACCTGAAACTGCTAGAAATCAGGCAATTCCTAGATAGAACGGCATTTGAGAAGACACACGTGATGAGGCCACCAGGAAGCAGGGGTCCTGACAAAGCTGGCTTATGGCTTATAAGCTCCCAGGCAGCAGAACACATGCATACGCAGGTGGAAAACCAAAAGGAGTAAAGTTACTTGTTAGCGATAGAAGGAGGTTAGAAGTGGAAAGGGAGTTCCTGAGTGAGTGTGATGCCCACGACAGGCTGGTGGCAATGCCTCTTGCTGCCGTAGGGGTCATAGCGAGCCCTGTCCCTAGAGCTCTGTGTGTCCCTCCATCCCTCCGGTACCAGCCTCCATGGGAGCAATGTCTGGTTTCCTGCGAGTGCCCCCTGGTTGGGATGGAAATCCCCTTTACCAGATTTAACATTACAGCTGTTATTGACTTTGGGGGAACACAGCAAAGGTTAGAGAACCTTAAGATGCACATCC